TATAGTCTTGGCTTATCGTATTAATGGCTATCTCTTCCCCTATTGTCGTACTTTCATGTTCCTCATTTAACAGTTTTTCAAAATAATTCTTCCACATTTCCTTAATCTCATCATCCTTCACCAATACCTTAGAATCATCACTCTTGATGCACTTTACTTGATTAAAATCTCTTGTTTTCCTCTCCCGTATCTTAGCAAGTTTGTATACCCCTCTTCTCTCCCTCCTTACTATCTAGTCTAGTGTATAGGTCATCATAAGCTTTCAATTTAGTCTCTCTCACTACTTTCTTGACCTCCTTATTAGCCAATCTATAACTCTTAAGGTTCTCCTCAGTTCTATCCTTCTGCCACTTTTTAAAGCACTCTTTTTTTGCCTTAACTTCCGCTTGAACCTCTTCCCTCCACCACCAAGTTTCCCTATAGCTGGGTCCCGTTCCTTTCGACTCTCCAAGCACTTCCCTTGAGATTCTCCTCATACAATTGGCCATCGAATTCCACATAGTGTTAGCATCACCTTCTAAGTCCCAAGTACCTTCCTTATCCATTCGATTCTTAAATAATTCTAGTTTATCCCATTTTAGGTCCCACCATCTCGTCCTACGACGCCCACCATCCTTCCTAGCTTGGTATTGCCCTCTAAAACATAAATCTAGTACCAAAATCCTATGTTGAGAGACCAGACTCTCTCTAGGAATCACCTTACAATCATTGCATTTTACGCAGTCCATTTTTCTTACTAAGAAGTAATCTATTTGGCTCTTAACTAATCCACTCTTAAAGGTTATCAAATGCTCCTCCATCTTCTTATACATAGTATTGGCCACCACCAAGTCAGAAGCCAACGCAAAATCTAAGATTCTCTCTCCAGCCTCATTTCTGTCACCAAAACCGTATCCACCAGGCACCCTTTCATAACCTAGTTTATCTATGCCCACATGGCCATTAGAATTTTCACCTATAACCAGGTTCTCTCCTACGGGTATCTCTTGTAAGATCTCATCCATTTGCTCCCAAAAATCCCTATTAGTCTGATCATCTAACCCTACTTGAGGGGCGTAAGTGCTAATAATGTTCACTGTATTCCCTCAAATAACTAGTTTAACTAGCATAATCCTATCTCCTTTCCTAGTGACCGTCACCACACTTTCCACAAGACCCTTGGCAATTATGATTTCTATCACATTCCTGCGTCTATCCTTACCACTCTAATAAAGTTTAAAACCAGTATCCTCAATTTCCCTAGTTTTTTCTTTCGTCTACTTAGTTTCTTGTATGCAAGCTATACTAACTCTCCTCCTAATCATAACATCAACCAATTCCATCGTCTTACCAGTTAAGGTTCCTATGTTCTAAGTGGCTACCCTAAACCTATAATCTTGGATTAGCTTCTTTACCCGCGCTCGTTCAGAAAAACGTGGAAACCTTTGCCCATTTTTCACTGCACCCAGGCGTCGATGCGGCGCCCCTTGCTCACTTTTCGAAACACCCGGAGGCAGGCGCAACGCGTCACTTGAGGGGAACGACCTAACATTTAAACGATTCAAAATAGGATTCATTTTCATAAGGGATCCGAGCGGCTTTTTTACGTGTTGGCTGTCGGCTACCTAACACACAACCCTCCTCCTTAACCCGGGCTTGAAGGAATATAGCAGACAGTGGTACAAGGAAAAATCATTTTCAAAATTATAAGCTAAACCTTAAAAAGAAGAAAGTGGTGAAAATTGTTATAAATTATTCACCAAAAACGGCAGTACCACGTCATAAATTGTTGCATTTGTGTGAACAACTGAGGTAGTTATGCTACAATTGCATATATGCTTCATCTAAAACGCAAAATCAAAAAAGAGACTTGGGTTTTACTATATATAAGGAAAACAAACCAACAAGATATTTTATAATACCTACCCATATATTAGTTCTTTGTAATTATGACATCAATGAGACTCTCACATGGAACCAACACCGCACCATCTCGTCCCTTTCTTTGTCTCACAATCCCAACTACAGTCATTTATTATTGCAACTCCTGACTATGTGGAAAAAAACTAAAAAAATAGTGGCATTTGGAGCAAATAATTACAAAATAACATGAGAAATAAAGTTTAATTATAATACCAATGGAAAATTGTAAAATAATTACAAAGAGGTGGAATATATATTATTTGAATATACCAAAATACCTTCTCCCTCCAATTTTCCTCTTCTTTTTGCACAACACGATAGCCGTTGGCCTCCTGTTGTTGGCTACCACTCCACTGTTGGAAAAATTAATGGTCTCCGAGTCTTCAAAGTCTTTGCAATTCACTTGCTTTTATGAACTTCAACATAAAATAATTGTTTCAAGGTGCGTTATGTCTCTTCCTTAAAGACGATATTTGCCTTCACCAAATGATATGCAGCAGGTTAACATCAAATTTGTCTCTAGGATACAATAAAATTTGATCTAAGGATAAAATCTATTGGCTTCTGCATTGACAACAGTAAATCAAAATATTCTTGATATGATGGAGATAACTAAGACAGTGATAATCAAATCTGCTGGAGATGGCTATCAGAAAGAGAAAGTAGAAACTTACTTTAGAAACTCTTGATTAGAGATGACTATCACAGAGAGAGAGAGAGAGAGAATTGATGATTTTTAAAATTTTGATCACCATAGTACACGCCACGTCCCACGTTGGATCCATGTCATCACCCCAACCTTTTCGTAGCAAATAGGAAAGCGCCACACAGAGTTGACTCTGCTCCATGTCACCCATGCTACGTTGGATATACATCATTGCTCCAATCTTTCCATAGCATGTAGGAAAGTATCGTGCGGCACACATTTCATTGCCCACGCTATGTGTATCTGTGCATGTGCATCTATTCTTATAGTGTGAGTGCATGTATATTGACATCTATATCACAACTTCATATTCAAAAGAATATTCTATGTAACTGTTTATAAGCTCTATCTTTTACTCTCTTTCTAACGTAAGACAAGTTTCCACACTTGTTTGAAACTTTCCAAATGAAATAAAAAAGGTTTTAAAAAAAAAAAAACTTTATTTATTATTTTAAAAATTCCCAACATCCACTCCCCCACCTTCCCCAAGCCCTTCTGTGCCCTCGCTTGCCACCCTGAGCCCGTCACTTGCCCTTCCCCGCCACCCCAAAAAGCTCCTTTACTCTCCCTTTCCCACCTGAGAACCCTCCCTCCAAACCGCGGACACCTCAACTACCCAAAATCCCTAACTTCTCTCATTTGCGACCCTACAATTACTACATATTCAGTGTAGGTGTTACTTATGTTGAGTGCAAGTGCCAATTAGCATTGAATCCAAGACACCACTGAGCTCAAGAATTAACCGCGCTTGATGTGAAGAATATATTTATTCATTCAACATTGATTAACCTAACAATTGGACCACGCTTTAAAAAAACATGAACCATCGTGCAGGTTGTTGCAGGTGGGGCTCATACTAATAGTGACATTTCCATTAATATCCAAACAATTCACAAAAGTATGGTTCATAAAAATATTTATTTAATTCAAAAATCATAATATAATGTAAGATGTAATATTTTGTAGAATTAAATCCATTTAAACAATAATTAATTTTTTTAGGCTTTTGAGGCTGCAAGTCCTTTTTTATGGTCAAAGTGCATTTTTACAATTAACTTGGGGGAAATACATTATCTATTCTTATATAAATTATAATAGGTTGTTTAGTTTTTAGGTTGAAAGCCTCAACCCATTTTTTCAAACTTTTAAATTTTGTTCACAATAAAAATAACATGGGTCATTATGTGTTGTAATTTAATTGGTCTAAAATTAAATTTAATAATTATTCATATCATGTTCTCCATTAACAACTTATTACAAATTAAGTATTTAGATTTTGATTTATTGGCTATAAGAATGAGACATTCAAAAATAATTTTATTTATTTACAAATAGAATTTTAGTTCAAAGATTAAGGGAAAAATAATAATTTTAAGAACTATATAAGTACTAGAATTAATACTAAAAAAATAATAGTATTGCGTTCATACAATTTCTCATCTCTATAATTGCTCAAATGAGGTGACAATATATAATATATGTAAGGAGAGTTTTAAGAGAACATGAGAATGAGAATTAACTTTTTAAATTTACTCGACTCGTCATTTTAGGAAAATTCAAGAAAGAACAATTATGTGAATGAATCATTTTTTTTTTTTAAAAAAAAAAAAAATCCTCAGAACATGATTGTGAGGGGGTACATCTTGGTTTGATTGGGATCCCACTGCATGTTGACATTAGAACTTTTGTTTTGTTTTGTTTTTTTTTTTTCTGTCAACTTCCTTTTGTTGTTACAAATTTTATTTTATTTTTGTTTTGCCATCTCCAGACCGAGCAAGGATCCTCTAAAGTGGTTTTTTCCTAAAGTTTCCTAGAGTGCTATATTGTGTGGTTGAAATTTATTGGCAAGTCACATCAGAAAAATTGATGTGATTTGCCAGTAAATCTCAACCACACAATGTAACACTCTAAGAAACTTTAGGAAAATTTCACTCTAGAGGATCTTTGGTGCTCCAGACCACTCTCAGCGTGATGAAGAGACTAGAGTGCCCACACATAATGGCAGCTAGAGACTAGAGTGCCCACACATAATGGCAGCTGTCTCCAATTCTATTTTTTTCAGTTAATTCCGTTAATAAAAAATTTTGACAAAGATATTTATAATTTTTTAAATTATAAAAGACAATTTATAATTTAAACAAATTTCAGAGTTATATTTATAATTTATGTAAGAAACAATTATGTGGATGAAACATTTTCTTAAATAAAAAAAAAAAAAAAAATCCTCACCTCAGAACATGATTGTGAGGGGGAACATGTTGGTTTGATTGGGATCCCACTGCATGTTGACATTAGAACTTTTGTTTTGTTTTTTTTTTGTTTGTCAATTTCCTTTTGTTCTTACAAATATATATATATATATATATATTTGTTCTTTTGCCATCTCGAGAGAGTGACGACTCTCAGAGTGAAGAAGAGACTAGAGTGCCCACACGTAATGGCAGCTGTCTCCACCCCCATTCCTTGTTTTTATAAATCCCCCTCCATCTATCTCCCTCATCACCACCTCACCTCCACTGCTACTTCCACCACCCCAAACAAAGATGTCTCAAGACCTTTTCTTCTTCTTCTTCTTCTTTCTCTTGGTGTTTTCTCACTCTGCATGTGATTCTTCTTCCCCAATAACAGTCCAAACACTTGACATAAATCCACCACACTACTACAACCCCAAGCTCCCCCCCAGAACTCTCTCTTCTTCCAAGAAATTCGAGGGCTCATCGGAGTTCGTTGACCTCCGCTACCATATGGGACCCGTCCTCTCCTCCCCTATCAACATCTACCTCATCTGGTACGGCAAATGGCCGCAATCCCACAAACTCATCATCAACGACTTCCTCCTCTCCATCTCCACTACCACCCCCTCCAACGACCACTCCTCCGTCGCAGAGTGGTGGCGCACCGTCTCCCTCTACACCGACCAGACCGGCGCCAACGTCTCCCGATCAGTCGTGATCGCCGGTGAGTACTCCGACCAGCGTTACTCCCACGGGACTCAACTTAGTCGCCTCTCCATCCAACAAGTCATCGCCACCGCCGTCCGATCCGCACCCTTCCAAATTGATCACAAGAACGGGATCTACCTCATATTAACTTCCGTGGACGTCACCGTAGAAGATTTCTGCCGAGCAGTTTGCGGGTTCCACTACTTCACCTTCCCATCTATGGTCGGCTACACTTTACCCTACGCCTGGGTAGGAAATTCGGGTAAGCAATGCCCCGAGGTTTGCGCTTACCCGTTTGCCATCCCGGGTTACATGGCGGTTTCCGGGGCTGGTGCATTGTTACCACCGAATTCGGACGTGGGCGTGGACGGTATGATCAGTGTGATCGGGCATGAACTTGCGGAGCTAGCGTCGAACCCGTTGGTGAATGCGTGGTATGCGGGTGAGGACCCAACCGCCCCGGTGGAGATTGGGGATTTGTGTGAGGGCTTGTATGGAACGGGTGGTGGAGGCGGCTATATAGGCCAGGTCATGAAGGACAATCAGGGTCGGACCTTCAATTTGAATGGTACCAAGGGTAGAAAATTTTTGGTACAGTGGATTTGGAGCCCCGTTTTCAAGGCTTGTGCTGGGCCAAATGCTTTGGACTAAAACAAATACTACTATATATATATATAAGTTCTATATTCCAATATATTTTTTTATTTTTATTTTTTATAAAATCATGGTCATAGATCATTATTATAATATTATAGGAAGTGGGTTAGGCTGGGAGATTGGGGGAACAAGAGAAGAGGGGAGGGGAGTAGGATTAGACTGAGATACGCTTTTATTTTCTTTTTTGATGTATATGTTATTTATTATTTTGATTGCTGTTCGTTGTAGCAAGATGTACAAAGAGTTGAAATGATGTTATTGGATATGATCACAACTTAGTTTATATCATTATTATTATTTGTGTTGGTGTTCTTTGAATTGTAATTCATGTTGGAGTAAGATGGAATTGATTTTGGTTAAGAATTTAGCATTGCATAATCCAAGTTTAATATTAACAGATTGTTTCAATTGGATAATTTTAAAAAGAAGAAAATACACTATCTCTCCTCCTAAATCACAGGTTTAGATACTGAGAGAATTTTATGCAAGTTATAAGAATTTTTTTCAAAATCTTAGAATACATTTTTTGATTTTTTGTTAATATTAGAAAGATATGGAGAGAAAAAGAAGAAGGATGGAATTCATCAATTTTGTTTGAGAACTAATTTTTCATAATTTCTCATGATTCAAACAAATTTTCAGGGAGTCGAACATGAATTGGGTTCAAACTCTATGTGGGTTTTTTTTATTTATCCCTATCATTATTGTTAAATCGGGATATGAATCGTGTATCATTTTTTAATTTTTTTGAATCGCATATTAATCGTGTATTGTAATATACTTTAGTATTAGATAGAAAAATAAATATAATTATAAAAATAAACATCTTATGAGAATAAAATACTAAATAATGTATAATTTTATCAATTGTAAAAAGTTTCTTAAATTAAATATATATATAGCGATACGCAAGACATAAATTAATAACGTGAGATTCTTAATACCATACAATAGATATGTCAAAAAGGTCGAGAAATCAATTAAAAAGTACCATTCTCATCTCAAAAATATTTTTTATTGATAAGTTAATGAAAATTTTTAACAATATTAATTTACATATAATAATTTGAATATATTTTTTTTCAAATTTGCTAAAGAAATTTAAGTATTTATGTAATATATGTATCACATTATGTATCGCATATTGTTTATTAATTCACGTATTGTATATGTATTGTACGAGTACGAAATAATCTTCTCGTATAATCCTGTTGATTAAGTTTGCACTCCTCCAAATGTCGTTACTTTGCTTTCTGAAAACACAAACGTGAGCTCGCCGGCGAGTGTGTGCTAAAAACCCCTTCGATGCCTTAGTCAGCAATTAGACAATAGACAATAAGCACTATGTATTTGAGAGTAACAATTGTGATACCTGTGCATAGGTCCTGTCATGAGCTTTTATAGATTTCGCCTGGCACAATCTTAATAGGATTCTAACTCTCCTTAGCAAAGTCCTTCTAGAAATCACACTCCCAAGGATAATGTCTATCCTGATAACACCCTACTTACTGCCAACCAAGTGAGATGGTTACAACTCTTACCTTGACTGGTACCACACTCAACCGAGCTTGCACGGCTCGGTGCTGCCTAGTCCTAACAGTGAGATGGCGCCCTACAGAGCTACCCTTAGCTCGGTCCTCCTTCCTAGTAACACCTCGGTCCTCTCCGGGGTTTAGCCTAGGATAGCTAGGTCAGGCCCCTGGCAGCCCATCTCTGACCGACTTGATGCCTAGATGATCCAAGACCGTGCTATCCAAACATTTACTTTGGCCTGTAATTCGACCCAATGTCTAAGTTAAATGGACTTAACTCGGCCTAAACTATTCACATAAATTACCCTCTCAATTGCCCCTTAATTCCATCTGCGCAGCATGTTTGGGATTATTCCGTTTCGACTGAGCTGTCAAAGTCGATGTCAACCAAACCCCCAAACCATCTAGCCTAACCAAGCGGAAATACTCACACTGATCGAGCTCAAATTTCGCTCGGTTTCCAAAAATTACGCCGGTTATACATCCCATCTTTTCATGCTCCTGACATCGTGTCCTCATTAGGACACGTGGCATGCGTTGATTGCCCCCACTCACTATGACAACCGTCAACACGCTGCCCAAAAATTCCGAAAAGTCCTACCATTTTGCTTCCATGTCATATAAAACTCGTTTTTCTTCGAACAATCACCCTCACTATTCATCTTCTCTCTTGTAAACCCTCACACTCTGAGTTCCATATCTACACTTCCTACGCTTAAGTCCCAACCCAAGCATCTAAATCGCTTGCCTCACTTGCTTTTTTGTTGGTGCTCCTTCTATCGATTGGATTTTGTTTTCACACCCTAAATCCGTAAATTGCCCATGCCTCTTTCTCTTCTCTACTGATATACTTCTGTTTATTTCTAAATAATAGAATTTTAATGTTATATGCACTAAAGACTGAAACCAATTTAAAAAAAGCTCAAAACTCCATGCTCAAACCTGTAAACACATTGACTGGAACTTGAACCAGTCTAGAACCGTGTTTTTTATCCAAAATCGTACTGCGACCAAAATAAGAACTTGTTTGCGACCTTTAGGCTTGCTTTTGACTGGACTAGAAATTCCTTGCTCAACAACCGGGCCGCAATCCTGCCCTTCTCCCTAAACCTTGAGTCGGTTCTGTTCTCTGGCCAAACTAAGTATGGCACGTGATCCCCCAATGCCGAGCTAGGCTTGTTTAGTATTGACTATTTACTTAGCCCGGTTTATCACCTGGGCATAACACCTTTTTATTTCCACTTTGCAGACTTAACTAGGTTTGCCAAGCACACTTTGCACTTTGCCCTTGGGCTCTTTTGCTTAACCAAGCCAACGAAAGTCCACATCAGCGCCGTGCTTGGTCACCGTGTAAATTTTTTTAACATAGTAATTTTAAGATAATGGGCAAATACCGCTTTCTGGTGAACTCGCCTGGTGCCATGGCCGAATTCTGAAGGGATTACCACATACCAGTCAACGTCCACCTTTTCTTGGCCGAGCTAGGCACCACGCCATGGGGCAATGCAGGCTTTGTTCCTTTCACGTGGTGTCCATCCTAGAGGGAGGACTTCAGTTCCCAGTCCAACAATTAATCTACGAGTTCCTTAGACAAACCAGGCTATGCCCCACTCAATTATCAATCAACACCTATAGGATTATCAACGGGATAGCCGGGCTAAATCGTCACCTTAGCCTTGACCTCGGTTTGGCCGAGCTGTTCCACCAATATTCACTCGGCTAGAATGACGACAGTTAGGTTTATTACCTTAGAATCAGAAAAGGCCGAGAGGAAATTGTCAAGAAAACACCAAACAAAGACCTAAATAATGATGACTTTCTCTGGGTGTCAAAAAATTTGAAGACCAGGAAGCCCAGATACCAGGCTACAACATTAACTAGAACAAAGGAACAGTCGGTTAAGATAGTCCAGTTTTAATTCTTTCTGCTATCGTATCACATGTTGCGTTAACCCATGTGAGTTTGCCCCTTTTTGTAGATTAAAACCAGCTTAAATCCACTTATGCATACGCAAACCAAGCCGCACTCTGAGCCATGCTATGATATCGGCATAGAAACTGGGCCGAACTGCTTGATGTGCAACCGACCTACTACTATAGTAATAAGAAGAAGACCAGAGTAACTGATTTTCTTTTAGAGTCCTCACCTGTGCCAGACCCCACCCTTCTCCAAATCCACTTAATCCCTCTCACCGAAGAATAAGAGATGGTCAAGAAGAGAGTTATCCGAGCTTTAATCATTGAACAGGCATCCGTCTCAAATGTTGAGGTCCAGACCGAGCAAATTACCATCGGTCAGACCATAAAAATTGTTGTTGCCCTACCTTTCACCTAGGCTACTTCATCTCGGCCCAGCAAGAGGCCACGCGATTCAGCCTCTCAACCTCAGTGGCTGGTGGATGAAAAAGAAGTCGAGCTGCCGCTAAGCTAGCCTCATAAAGGAGGAGGCCACCCCGGTCGTGCTAGTTTTTCTACTCCAGTGTGGGCTTGGCTGTGACTTTCAAAGGTCGTGTTGTGTCCACGACCGACTTAGTTGCCGCCGAAAAAGACCACCTGTTAGCCTTTGGTCTATCCAAAAGCTTATGCCTTCCAGCCAACATGGAAAAATACAACCACCTGACCGAGCAGAAGACGATTCAGTCTGCCACTAAGTCGATGGTTCTGGTAAAGTCTGAAATTTCAATATAACTGCTACTTTTTACAGTCTCCTGATGCAGTTGAACTTACCTTTTCATACACTTTGCAGGCCATTTAGAAAAATCACACTGCCCACCAACGTGTTACTGAATTGTGAAAAAATGTTAAGGCGGCCATCGCTGAGGTGAAAACGAAAGACGTCGAGCTAAAGGCCCTGAAGGCTTCTCTGGTCAAGTTAAATGCCGAGAATGAGAAACTAGCCGAGTAGATAAGTGCGACTGATGTGGAAAATAAAAAAGCCCTAGCTAAGAAAAAAAGACCGGTATCTATGCGAACTTGCCAAGCTAGAGAAGAAAAAGGACGCCGAAATAAAGGAACTGCGGAAGAAGATGGACGATGCAGAGGACCGTGGTTTCAAGGAGGGTGAACGTCACAACCTAAACCCGCCCCTAAAAGTTTGGTTCATGACAGGCCCGTACATAGGCCTTAAACAGAATTTTATAATAATATTTAAACACATACAGGGCCTTAAGCGGAAGCAATATCAATAAAAGACAACATCCATTGAGCTTGTGCATACATGATGGTTTAATTAGATTCAAACATTTAAATACATTCCCAGAGTTACACATACAATCACATAATTTATATAGATCTCACACACACTTACATAAGACTTAATAATTTATATGACTCCCAACACAAATTAAGGCCTCAACACGGAGGCGTACCCTAGGCGGCTTGGCAGACAGTTAGACCTCAATACCATTCTAGTGTTAATCTCCGATGGCTCACCTACATAAATATAGATAAAAACAGAGTGAGCAAGGCTCAGTGAATAATAGTAATGTAAGGAGGTGAGTTAAATGGGTATAGGCTTAAAGAATGTAAGCATGCATATCAAACCATACACAAATCTTATTCATAATCATATTTTAAAATGGCCTCAGGCCCAAGTGTAACACAGAACGGCCTCAGGCCCATATATAATACAGAGCGGTTGTAAACCCAGATATGATACAGGACGGTTGTATGTCCAGATATAATACAGAACGGTTATAAGCCCAGATACAGGATAGAACGGTTGTGAGCCCAGATATAATACAGATCGGCTGTAACCCCATAGATTATATAGAATGGCCTTAGGC